GTTAGTCCTGCTGTCCCAGTCCCGACAACTGTCATGATTCCTGCAATAGCCAAGAGGGGCAAGATCTGAATTGCCTTCCTATCCTGCTGGGCAGCTAATGAGTCCATGACTGGGATTGGTAGGGGCTCCTTTTCATTTATCACCCCCAGCCAGGGGAGGAGGAACACTAGAGTACAAACTCCTGAGCAACCAGCAGGCAAACAATGGTAGACCTGAGTACCACAAAGAATCAAGATATTATTAGCAGTAGGGCATTGGGGTTGAGATGAGGTATCAAGGTTTATAGTTTTATTACAGTCTAAGGAACTTAGCATTCCTACAGAGTGTGTCCCGGATGCCTTGAAACAGCTTGCCACACCAAAGAGGGTGACATGAGAAAGGTAAGGGGTTGTGGCAACAGCTCCTCTAAAGTTTCAATGCAAAAATGAGATGGGGCGTAGTCAGAGTTAGGCCAAGGAAGAGGGTTTGAAATATTAAGAGGTGGTCATGGTTGGAAAGTAGGGTCTTCTGTTAGCGCCACCTGTAGGGAAAGAACTCTGGAGGGAGGTAGAGTTTGTAAGCCTTAAAAAGTGAGACAGATTGTGAGAATAGAAGACAGTAATAGGTGATCCAAAAGTTAGGCTTTTTGGCTCTCGAATAAGGAGCTCCATAGCTTCGCTAAGGCACAAATGCAGGGTGCCCATCCTTGGATTGTCAGGTCTAATTTCTTTCACAGGTATGCTACAGGTACAAAGGAGAGTCCCAGTTGGTGACCCAGGGCTCCAAGAGCATATTCCTCTTTTTTCTGTTACAAAGTGGGAGAAGGGACAGGTTAAGTCTGGGAAATGTAAGGCTGGGGCCTCAAGAAGAGCCTGTTGGAGCCTCTGAAAGAGCTTAGTAATGAGCTTAAGAAAGGATTCATGCAAGGGGCTTAAGGTTGCCTCATATAAGGGGTGGGCAAGAAGGGAAAAAGAAGGGACCCAGAATCATAAGAAACCAGCCATTCCCAGAAACAATAAAATTTCTTCTTTAGTAGAGGGAAATTCCAGAGACTGTATTAGATCTTTTCTATCTGGGGTGATGCCCTTGTGGGTTGGGGTTATTGTTAGTGCCAGGTAGTGACCTCAGAGGTGGACAATTGGACCTTGGAGGGTGAGACCCGATAGCCACTGCTGGATTTAGGGAGAGATAAGGGGAGTAGATCAGAGGCTAGGACTTGGCCAAACAGGTGTGGGCTGTCCCGGAATCCCTGGGGTAGTCCAGAAAACAAGGGTGTCAGGGTCAGTCCAGGTGAAGGCAAAGATATTTTGTGACTGGGCCTCCAGGGGGATAGAGAAAAATGCATCCTTGAGATTCAAAACTGAGAAATGGGAGGTACCTGAGGGGATAGTGGAGAGGTGAGTATAGGGGTTAGTCACAACAAGGTGGAGGGGGACAGCTGCAGAACTGAGAAGCCGGAGGTCTTGAACCAGCTGATAGGTTCCATTGGGCTTTGTAACTGCAAGTATAGGGTGTTAAAAGGGGAGGAAGTGGGGTGAAGGAGTTTGTTTTCTTTTTCTTTTTTTTTTAAGAAGGTCAGATGTACTAGGTGTAAGTCCCATGAGGCTTTTGAGCGGAAGTGGGTATTGAGCTACTGTAATATACCAGGTAGGATCCTGTAGCTGAATGACCACAGGAGAATGGTGCCTAGCGACAGAGGGGTTTTAGACATCCCAGACTTGGGGGTCCACTCGAGAGGCTGGTAAAGGAAGCAACGTGTCACAACGGTAAGTAGGTAGCTAAGAGAAGGAGGAGAGAGGACGCTGGCAAGCTTCGGGTTAGGTGAATGAGTAGAGTAAAGGAGATAGAGGCTCCCACTTTGGCTATAAAGTCCCTTCCCAGTAAGGAAACTGAAGAGTTTGGCATCACTCAAAAAGAATGAGTCAAGGGAACACCCCTGAAAATACAATTGAATGGTGGAGTCTGGCAGGGTTGCCTGTTACCCTGACACCTAGGGAACTAGAAGGAGAGGTAGGTCCCCAACACTCTGTCAGGACTGAGTAAGTGGCTTTGGTGTCCACAAGGAAGGAGATGGGCCTCCCCAATACCATGATAATTACCCATGGCTCCCTGCTAGTGATGGCAGTGGTCAAGTCAAGGGAACCTGGGCACCTTCAGTTGTTCGTAGCCAGGCCTAGGTTATTGGCCGGAAAGCAATCTGGGAGTAATGCCCCCTAATCATGAGAGAAACAGTGGCAGTCAACACCCCAGTGTCCCTCCTGGTGGCATTTTGGACATGGCCCCGGTGGCTTTCAAGGGTTAGGAAGAAACAGGCCCAGTGAACTTCTTGACCACATTTCGAACAGGGACCCTGTGGTCGTCCTGCCTTAGGAGGCAAGCGAGCCTTGGGTAGTTGCTGAGGTTAGTCAGATGGCCTTGGCCAGCATTTGGTATTATTGCTTGCGGACTTTCTCACCTCTCCCATGGTATTTAAAGGCCAGCACCAAGACTCCTGTTTTTGGAGTCAGATGGCCTCTCTCCAAGTATTTAAGCTTAGCCCTTATGTCAGGGTAACTCTGGGAGAAAAAATAGGTCATCAAGGGTGACCTACCTTCTGTTCTTTCAGGGTCTAGATTAGTGTGTTGTAAGAGGGCCTTTGTAAGGTGCTCTAGGAATTGAGAGGGGTTTTCACCTTGTCCTGCATGACCTCCTGAAGCTGCTCATAATTAACTATCTTGAGGGCAGTCTTGCAGAGACCAGCCAGGAGGCAGGTCACGAACTGATATCTAGATAAAATGCCTTCTAGGGTATTATAATCACATTGTGGATCCTGGTCAGGTAGCACCTCAGCCCCAACAAGGTGTATTGTGTTTGTTTGGTGAACCTCATCTGCATGCGTTCTAGCCTGTTCCCAAACTTGCCTGCTCTTCTCAGGTAATAGGTTATTGGTAAGAATCATACATATATATGTATATATGCATGTATATATATATATGTATATATACATATACATATATGTGTGTGTGTATATATATATATATATATATATATATATATATATATCATGGAAGGTAAGACTGTAAGATTGAGTGAGATATTGAAATTCTTTCATGAAAGTAGAAGGATTAGAGTTATAGGGTCCTAGAGTCTTTTCTAGTTCAGAAAGTTCAGTTAATGAGAAAGGAACATGCACCCTAACTAAGCCATCCACCCTGGCCACCTCCCACAAGGGAAGAATTGAGCCTGGCTTACGCTGAGTAGAAGAAGAAGGGAGCTTTGCTACAGAGCAAGAGCAGGTAGCAGGGGGGCTACTAGCTGTTGGTGGGGTGAAAGTGAGTGCCAAAGTAGAATGACTAGGATGGCCTGTTGCTGGGGAGGTGGGTGAGGATCCTGGAGAAGCCAAAGAGGAGGAAGCAGAGAAGGAGGGAGAATCCGAAGGTTGAGAAGAAGCCAGAGGTTGAGAACAGCAAGGCAGAGCTTCATCCTCGGTGTCAAAGATAGAGAACTCTTGAGGTTGAGACTTTATAGCTACAAGAAGTAGTTATAAGATAACATGAAGGACAGGAAGGAGAACAGGAAGAACAGAGAGAAGGTTTAGAGCAAGAGGAGAGAGAATGCTTGAACATAAGATACCTCCTTTCCATTTACCAAATCCCTGGCAGTAATTAAAAAGATCCTGTAAAATTGTGGGATTTAATGTGCCATTAATCAGCCAATTTGAACCATTATCTAAGAAATATGTAGGCCAAGTTTTATTACAGAGGTGTATGAGCTTAGAGGCCTTTAATTCAGGCTCCGTGAGTAGGGTTTTTTTAATTCTCCAGAAGACATCCCAGTGGGGATACTGGAGGAACAGACGAATGGGCAGTTTCCATGGGGGGGGGGGGGGGGGTAGGAGTCAGTGACCTGCCAGAGGTGTCCCAAAGGCAAGGTTTGGCTCAGTAGAGTAGTATGGCACTACCTGATCCAAGAACTCATCAACATTGGCCAGAGACCAAGGGCACAGAGACACGGTTTACCTAGTGCTAGGATTTTCATAGACAAGGGGAGGGGGAGGGGCCGTGCCAGTAGAAGTAAAAAAAAAAACTCACCCTAGAGGAAAAGAAAGCCCTAAACGGAGGTCAGCAAAAAGGGTCAGCCATGGCCAGTGAAGGCTGTGGTTGGGGTTCCTCTGTCTCAAAAAGTACCAGGAAGTTGCTGGATGCTCAATGGTCAGTCTTCCTGTACCAAGAGAGACATTTATGCTGAACAATGAAGGGAACTCACCCACGCAGCCAATGTTGCATGTAGGAGGTAGCGATCTGGTTGCCGGAAAGTGGGTTGCGGGCAGATTTGAAATGAAATAGTTTTCCAGCAGCTCTGGTGGCAGCGCTGGTGCTGAAAGCAACCACCACGCTTCGTGGGCCACTGAAAACGCCTATTCCTGGCCAACGCACCAGTGTTAGGATTGTGCATTAAAGTTCCATGGCAGGTCCACAAATAACGTCACATGACTGGTTCTACATGGGAGGTTTTATTAAGGGAAGGGAGAGGAGGTCACAGAGAGTGTTCTGGGCAGGGTAGGGGAGAGAGAGAGAAAAGGCAGGTGGTATGAGTTCTCTTATAAGGTGACCCAGAACACGTGCAGGTGGTTTCAAGTGGTCCATGGATAGCCCGTAGCTGGCCTCACAGATGCCTGATATCCTGTTTGTCAGGTCCCTTGGGGCTGGCTGTGGAGATGCCTGCTTACGGATCCCAACAGTGCACACTTTAATCCTATCACTTAAGAGGCAAAGGCAGGAGGATCTCTGTGAGTTTGAGGCCAGCCTGCTCTACAGAATGAGTTCCAGGACAGTCAGGCCTACACAAAGAAACCCTGTCTTGAACCCCTCTCTGGAAAAAAAAAAAAAAAAAAAAAAAAAAAAGCTAGAATGAAAAAAAGAAATCCCCAAGACACAGGATTAGCAGTGTCTGAGGAAGTTCCTCAGTGATACTCAAGAAAGAAAAGGACCACAAAGCAGTTCAGCAGTCTGATGGTTACTGTTTTCTATTTATATCCTCAGGGTCTGAAGCGGCAGAAAGAGGAACAGATTCGTCGGTGGTGACTGGGATTCTTGGGGAGTCAGTTACTTTCCCCATAGTTATTCAAGAACCACAGAAAATTAATAGCATTGCCTGGACGTGTGAATCATCTGTTGCTTTTGTAAAACCAGGAGTCCAAGGAGCACCACCTGACGTTACTGTGACCCATCTCAGTTATAAAGGACGAATAAAAGTCATAGATCAGAACTACAGTCTGGTCATTGGGGACCTGAGAATGGAAGATGCAGGAATTTACAAAGCAGACATAAATGAGGAGAACTCTGACCACACCATCACCAAGCGTTACCACCTTCAAATCTACCGTAAGTTCCGGGTGGTCAGAGGGCATAGATTTTACTTTGCTTTGGAGATTTGTGATCTAAAGCACGCTCATATTCCGGAAAACAGAGGTTCCTAACTCTCTTCATAATTATAATTACGTAAGGACCTCAGTACTTATAAAGGTCTAACTTTGGTTCTGGCCTTGACAGGCTTTAATTGTATTCTGTTTTGCAGCAGGAATTGTCCTTTGATCCTTGTTTTCCTTTTTTATAAAATGTCAACAATCATTACTAATCAATTTGCAAACATTAGTATGGCAATCTAGTATGATACCATATGCAATGTGGTCTTTAAAAAGCTTCTCTTTTCAAAATAATTGCAGACTGCATAGGAAAGTGCAAAGAACCATGAAAGGAGGAAGCTGTGTGCCCTTCACTTCGCCCCTCCTTCTGTTACTTTAGATCCAGCCCCAAGTCTCATCCTCAGTGGTATATAGACCCTGGGGTGACCTTTCTTCCTTGCCTCTCCTGATTGCAGGGAGATAAAATAAGAAGATCCTGGTTGAACAGTCTCCTCCTATTCCTATAAGTGTTAATACTTACAGAAATGCAGCTCAGTTTTCAAGTTCAGAAACAGAAAGTTGATGTTGGAGCAGTTTATAGAGTTTATAGAATGATCCAGCTGTGTCTGCACTTATTTGTGAATGGAATCACTTGTAGCCCTATAGAATTTAACCACATAGGTAGCACTGGATACCATAATCAAGGTAGTTAAGTTTACTATTCCAAAATCTTCTTGTCTCAGTTTGGGAGGGTGGACATCTGTCAGCCCTGACTCTGGCTTTCTTTACCCAACAGCTTTGTGCAGATAACATCTCTGTTCTTACTGAGAAATGAAATGAGGTTGCAATTTTTACCTCTGTGGCTACACAAACACCCACCCCCAACACCACACACACACACACACATACACACACACAAAGTCTCTCTGAAAATAGATAAATATGCATAGTTTTCACCACTATGGCTGCACCAGTATCTACCCCAACACACACACACAAACAAACACACAGACACACACAAACACATAAAGTCTCTCTAAAAATAGGTAAATATGCATAGTTTTTACCACTATGGCCACACCAACACCCACTCCCCAACACACACACACACACCTCTGAAAATAGGTAAATATGGTTCTTATCTTGTACCTCAGCCATTTTGGAATTATGTGGTAAGGTAGCTAGGCTGCATTGGAGACATGTTGCCCTGGCTGTTATTGACTGTGTTATGCCAGCACCTAGGCATCTGGGATTAGAATGATTATAAAGCTAGGTGCTGATTTTTGGGTTTGTCTTTGTTGGCTGGGTGTTTTGTTCCTTGGTTTCTGTTTCCTCTCTGGATTTTCAGAGAGTGTGATGGCTATATGTTATCTGATAGAAAGTTTTCTTTGAACCTGATAGTTGTGGCCACTATATCCAGGTATAAGGAGTTTCTGGATATTGGGAGCTGACACTTAGGACCTGGGATAAGCCAAGGGTCTAAAGGTGTTCATTGGAGAAGGGAAAGGAGTGTTCAACCAGAATCTGTTTATTTATCTCTTTGGAATCAGGGAGACAATGAAGAGAAGTCATGCCAGGTTATCTGCTCTAGGCACTGGGGTTGAGAGTGGGGTTGAATCTAAAGGAACAGAAGGAAAGGCAAAGATCTAAAGACATCTACCTGCCCTCCAGGTGTCTGTGGGAGTGGCTGCTGGAGTTGGGGGCCAGGATAAAGCAACAAGTGGGGAGAGGAAGGGGAGGTGAGGAAGATCTCTCCATAAGATATGTGGGTGGTGGGGTTAAAAGGAAGGCCACAGGAAGTGTTCTGTTGCAAAGCTAAGAACCAGACTGGGACATTGGCTTTGGAGAAGAGGGAGTGGTGAAGGTCTTCCATAAGCTTACGTATTTCTCTGGTCCACTCAGCTGTTGTATTGACAGGGAATGGCTGCTGGTGTTGGAGGCTGAGATACTGGAATGAGCTAGAGGAAGGAAGGTTGGAGGAGATAATAAATCCCATAAAGAAATTAAAAACACGAACAAACAGTGGAAAGAAATGAATGAAACTGTTCAAGACATGAAAATGGAAATAAAATCAATAAAAAAACAAAACTGAGGAAATTCTGGCAATGAAAAATGTAAGAATTTCAATAGGAACCACAGAGGCAAATTTCATCAAAATGTGAGAGATGGAAGCAAGATTATCAAGCATTGAGAATACACCAGAAAAAATGGATACATCAATCAAAGAAAATGTTAAAACAAAAATGTTCCTCCTCCCAAAAATACAAAACAACAACAACAACAACAAAAAGGAAATTTAGGACAATAAGAATATGAGGAATATAGGAAGAAAAAGAATCCCAGCCAGGCTTGGTAGTTCCACCTGTAATCCCAACACTTGGGGAGGCAGAGGCAGGCAGATCTCTGTGATTTCAAGGCCAGGCTGGTCAACAAAGAAGTCCAGAACAGCCAACACTATGCAAAGAAACCCTGTCTCAAAAAAAAAAAAAAAAAGATTCCTACCTCTAAGGCCCAGAAAATATTTTCATAGAAGAAAAATTTTCTAACCTAAAGAAGGAGATGCCTATAAAGATAGAAGAAGCTTAAATGCTGCAAAGGGAAAAGACTGAGTAACATATAAAAGCAGACCTATTAGAATTATACCTGACTTCTCACTGAAGACTGTAAAACCCAGAAGGATCTCAGATATGCTATAGACTCTAAGAGACCACAATGTGGTCCCTGATTATATTCCCAGGAAAACATCCAACATCATAAATGAAGAAAATAACATCTTCCATGATAAAGCCAAATGTAAACATAAGCCGTCTACAAATCCAGCCCTACGGAAGATGCTATAAAAAAAGAAAAAAAAATACCTCCAACCCAAGGAGGTTAACTACACCAATAAAAACACAAGGAATAAATAAGCTCAGAACAGCAAAATCAAAAGAAGGGAAGCACATACACACACACATACACACAGTACCACAATCACTAACAACAACAAAATGACAGAAATCAACAATCATTGGTAATTGACATAGTATAAATGGTCTCAATTCCCCCAATAAAAAAGCAAAGGATAATAAAATGGATATAAAAACATGATCCATCCTTCTGCTGCATCAAGGAACATACCTCAACATCAAAGATAGACATTACCTCAAAGTAAATGGCTGGAAAAAGGTATTCCAAGCAAATGGACCTAAGAAACAAGCTGGTGTAGTCACTTTAATATCTAACAAAATAGACTTCAAACCAAAGCTGATCATAAGAGATAAGGAAAGACACTAAAAACTCATCAAAGGAAAAAAAAATCCACCAAGACGACATTGCAATTGTTAACATCTATGCCACAAACAAAGGGTACCCAAGTTTGTAAAAGAAACACTACTACAGCTAAAATCACATACTGACCTCAAACACTAGGAGACTTCAAATCCACACTGCTACTCAATCAGAGAAATGCTAGACCTAACATACATTATAAACCAAATGGACCTAACAGACATTTATGGAACAGTTCCCCCAAACACAACAGAATACACCTTCTTCTCTGCATCTCATGGAACTTTCTCCAAAACTGACCACATACTCCTACACAAAGCAAGTCTCAATAGATACAATAAAATTGTAATAACTTCCTGCTTCTATCAAACCACCACGGATTAAATTAAGCTGGATATCAACAACAACAGAAAGCTTATAAACTCATGGAAACTGAAGAACTCTCAATTGAATAAAAAATGTCAAGACAGAAATAAAGAAATTGAAGACTTCCTAGTATTCATTGTATCCCAAACTTATAGGACAAAATGAAAGTGGCTCTCAGAGGCAAGGTCATAGCACTAAGTGCCTATTTTAAAAAATTTAAAAATAAAATAGAAAATAAGTGGAGAAATATCATACTAGCAACTTAACAGCATACCTGAAAGAGCTAGCACACAAAGAAAATCACAACCAAGAGGAGTAGTTGGCAATAAATGATCACACTCAGGGCAGAACTCAAAAAAATAGAAACAGAACAATACAAAAAGTGAAACAGAGCTGATTCTTTAGAAAATCAAAAAGATAGACAGGATTTATCCAAATGGACTAAAATGCACAGAGAGAATATCCAAATTAACAAAATCAGAAATGAAAAGGGGGACATAACAGAAACCAAAGAAATTCAGAGAAATATAAGTATATACTTTAAAAAAAAAAACTGTACTTCACTAAATTAGAAAATCTAAATTAAATGGGTAATTTTCTTGATGGATAACCAATTACCAAAGTTAAATCAAGATCAGATAAGCAATTTAAACAGATCTATAACTCCCAGTGAAATAGAAGAAGCATTAAAAAAAAATCTTCCAACCCAAAAACAAACGATCCAGGGCCAGATGATTTTAGCACAGAATTCGACAAGAGTTTTAAAGATGAATAAAGGTCAATACTCCTCAAATTATCTCACAGAATAGAAACAGAAGGAACATTGCCAAATTTATTTTATGAGGCTGCAGTCACTCTGATATCAAACCACACTACAAACCAAATTTCCTCATGAACATAGATGCAAAAATACTAGTGAAACACTCACAAACTGAATCCAAGAACACAACAAAAAGAGCATCCACCAGGATAAAGTAGGCTCCATCCCAGAGATGCAAGGATAGTTCAACATTCAAAAATCAGTCAATATAATCCACCATATAAACAAACTGACAGAAAAAAAAAAACACACACACAATCATCTCATTAGATGTTGAAAAAGCCTTTGACAAAATCTAACACCCCCTCATGATAACAGTCTCAGAGAGATTAGGGATAAAAAGGACATACTTAAACAGAATAATGGCAGTTTACATCAGGCCTATAGCCAACATAAAATTGAATACAGAAAAACTCAAGGCATTTTAGCTAAAATCAGGATTAAGACAAGCATGTTCACTCTCTCCATACCTCAATATAGTGCTTGGAGTCTTAGCTAGAGCAATAAGGCAACTTAAGGAGATCATGGGATAAAAATTAGAAAGGAAACAGTCAAAGTATCTTTATTTGTAGATTATATAATACATAAGTCACCCTAAAAATTCCACCAGGAAATTCCTACAGCTAATAAACACTTTCAGCAAAGTAGCTGGTTACAAAATTAGCTCACAAAAATAAGTACTGTTTCTAGATACAAAGGACAAATGGTCTGAAAAAGAAATCAGGGAAATGATTTCCCCTGGAGTGGAAGTTTCTGGTTTCTTTGAAGACTTAGTTGTGTCATGTGATGTTTTGCTGAGAGCTGTCTCATGCAAGAGGTATGACTTTGGCCAGCATAAAACATCCATGGGTGGACTCTGAGGAGAGGACATTTATATAGAAGCCCACATACAGTGAGAGAACACTTTCTGGATCAACATCCCTTCACTGATCTTCATTCTTCCGCACTTCACTTTGCAGAGAGAAAGAACTTCTCAGGGCAATTCAATTGAGTCTTGCGATTTTCTCTGACTCAGTGGAGTCTTGCTGTTTCTGCTGAATTGTGTTGCTATTTGGTGTTGGTGTTCGGACTAGACTACTGGTATCCGGACAGCAAAGGGTGGACTCACCCCAAGGAACTATGTCTAAAAAGGTCTATAACTGTCTTTTCCTAATAACCTTCTTTCTCCCCTGTCTCTGGTCAATGGGTTGGAAGGGAGATAGAAGCATTTAAGAACCCTAAGTAATGTAGGTTGTTGGACAATCTAAGCCTACATCCTTTTGTATTTCTTGGCCTCCTAGTCACGCCCCTCTCATGAGACTGCTCACACCAGAATATCACATGCCCTCTCACAAGAAAACTTCTAACAAAGCAACCAGAAACTTCCACTCCAGAGACCTTTCATAAATAGCCTCAAATAATAGAAAATGTTTTGGAGTAACTCTGACCAAGCAAGTGAAAGACTTGTATGACAAAAACTTCAAGCCTTTGAAGAAATAAGTAAAAGAAGATATCAGAAGATAAAAAGATCTCTCGTGCTCATTCATGGACCTATAGGATTAATATAGTAAAAACGATCATCCTACTGAAAGCATTCAAAATCAATACAATCCCCATAAAAACCCAACACAATTCTTCACCAATCTTGAAAGAATAATTCTCAGCTTTATGTGTAAAATAAAAAACCCAGGATAGCTGAAACAATTCCTGAACAATAAAAGAACTTCTGGAGGTCTCACCATTCCTGATATCAGCTTGTACTACAAAGCAATAGTAATAAAATCAGCATGATATTGGCATAAAAAGCAAACATTGATTGGTGAAATCAAAGTGAAGACCAAGACATAAATCCACAAACCTATGGATGCCTGATTTTTGATAAAGAAGCCAGGAATACACACTGGGAAAAAAAGCGCCATCTTCAACAAATATGCTGATCAAAGTCATGTCTGCATGTAGACGAACGCAGCTAGATCCATACTTGTCACCCTGCATAAGATTTAAGTACAAGTGGATCAAACACCTTAACATAAAATCAGAGGCACTGAACTGATAGAATAGAAAATGGGGAATAGCCTTGCACTCATTGGAACAGGAGAAGAGGTCTTGAACAGAACACCAAGAGCACAGGCTCTGAGATCAACAATTAAATGGGAATAAATAATGGCTGGCTGTAAAAGGAAAGTCCAAGAATCCAGAAGTTTCTCAGTCCATAAGGCTAGATGTCTCAGCTGGTCTTCAGAAGACACTGGATCCCAAAGAAATGTGCTCTAATGCCAGTGAAGGAACAGACTTGCTACAAAGTGAGAGAAAGCAGGCAAAGAGCAAAAGCTTCCTTCTTCATGTCATTATATAGGCCTCCAGCAGAAGCTGTGGCCTAGATTAAAGGCATGTCTTTCCTCCTCAAGATCAAGAGTAGAAGTGGATCTTCCTACTTCAAATAAAGCAAAAATCCCCCATTGGTGTACCCTCTGTTTTTGGATTTTAGCTAATTCCTTAGGTAGTCAAGTTGACAAACAAGCATAGCCATCACAGGGTGGAATTCTTCTTCTGTCTTAGCAGTATTCTACGGCCGTGAAGAGACACCATGACCAAGCCAACTCTTACAAGAGAAAGCATTTAATCTATAATTTGCTTACAGTTTCAGAGGTCTAGTTCATGTAATCATGGCAGAGAGCACGGCGTCATGCATCGGGCTGGATCAATAGCTGAGATCTACATCCTGAACCTCAGGCCAAGAGGCAGAGAAATTCTGGGCCTAGTGTGTGCCTTTTGAAACCTCAAAGCATACCCCAAGTGACACAATTCCTCCAATAAGACCACACCTCCTAATTCTTCTAATTGTTTCAAACAGTACCACTTCCTGGTGACTAAACATTCAAACATATGAGCCTGTAGGAGCAATTTTTATTCAGGCCACCACACCTTTGATGGTCATGATTTATAGATTAAGTCTTCCTTGGTTTTTGAATGGTGTTAGCAGGTATCCCAAGCTGGCCTCAAATTCATAATCTTTCTGCATCACACTCCCAAATGCGAGGATTATCGGCATTCATTTCCATGCCTAAATGTAAACAACCTCTTTACTGAGGCATTTTTTTAAACAGATACTGGATCAGTATAAGGTTCTGTTTTATAGCCACAACGAATGCCTACAAACATGATACACTTTTCAGCGTCGTCTGTTTTTGGTAACCTTTCCTCCATTGCTTTCTCAAGTTTAGAGCATCAATGAACAAAAGAATAAACCAAGCCCCAAGTTACAACATTTCCAAATTTCTTGGGTTTAACAACTTCTGCCATGGTTAGGTTCCTCTCCCTCTACTCTTCTCAGTTCCTCCTCACCTCCAGATCCACTCCCTTTCTGTCTTAGGATATATTGTATGAGAAGACAATCTATTTTCAGTAAAAGGGAAAAATGAAAAAATAGATATGTGTATATATGTGTACACATATACATGTAACAATAATTTATAAAAAATAGGCTATGAATTTGAAAAAGGAGGCATATTTGGAGGAAGGAAAGGAGAGGGATAAATGATGTAATTACAGTATATTATAGTTAATGTATTATGATATATTCTACTATAATATGTCATAATACAATCTCAACAAAGAAAAAAGATTTTGCTAAATACTTAATGTTAGTGACAGAAAAATAAACAAATATAGGAAAACCATTTTAAAAAACCCACAACCTTCTGCTATGGCTAATTTTAAGATCTACAGGGTTGAAAGGCTATTACTCATATGTCATTACAAAGCATATGGATGCAGTATGTGAACCTCACCACCAGCACAGAATCTATAATAAAAATATCTAAAATAATTTAGTACAATTTATTTGTTTTCACAAGTTATTTTTTAATGTTGTGTTTAACGTCGAGCACAAAAATTCCTGAGACGTTAACAATTGATTCTCACAAGTTTATGTATTGCTGGTTTCAGCTCACTATTGGTTCATGTTTTCCCCTCATAGGTCGGCTTGAAAAACCAACAATTACACAGAGTTCAATAACGTCTGTAAACAATACTTGTAATGTCACCCTGACATGCTCTGTGGGAAAAGAAGAGAAAAATGTGACATACAGTTGGAGTCCCTCTGGAGAGAAAAGCAATGTCCTTCAAATCTTCCAGTCCCCTGAGGACAAAAAACTAATTTACACATGCATGGCCAAGAACCCTGTCAGCAACAATTCTGACTCCATCACTGTCCAGAAACTCTGTGCAGGTAACCAGCAGCTCCTCCCTCTCTGGGAAGTCTCAGAAGTCACTCTGAAGAGCTCTAAGTCTTAACCTTTGACTGCTCTTCGCATGAATCTCCTCCTTTATGCCAAGACAAACCCAGGCAGCCTACTGGGGGAAAGACCAAAGCCTTCTACTAAGTGCCAAGCATTCCCGGGTATTTTGAGGAGCCCCTGTTTGACTCTGATTCAGACTGTAAACTGAAGAGCTTTGGCACTCTCTGAAGGCCATCCCATTTAGACAGTAGCCCTAAATGTGGGCAAACCTGCACAGAATCTTGGGCCTGTCTCCTGATAGCCAAGGCTCACAATAATTTCTATTTCCAGACACTCCAAGCTTCCAATCTCACCATGCTGGGTCCTCAAGTGGACTGGCTGCACTCTCTCTGCCTATTCTCATTCCGATTCTGGTGCTTCTGTTCTATTTGTACAAGAGAAAGCAAGGTAGGATTGTCCTGGAAGGTAAAGTGTGAGAATGTGGGTTGTTTTTTTTTTTTTTTTTTTTTTTTTTCTGCCAAAGAGTAAAGTCATCTATTTCCCAGGATGGAGTGAAGAGTATCACTTTGGGAACCATAGTGCTAAGCCGGAGAATCAGGGGTAAAAGTATTTACCAGTCTAAAACCAACACAAAAATATATGTATTTAATAGCCTAGCATGGTGGCACATGACTGTAATCCCAACACTCAGTGAGGCAGGGGCAGGTGGATCTCTGTGAGTTTGAGGCCAGCCTGGTCTACAAAGTGAGTCCAGGACAACCAAGGCTATACAGAGAAACCCTTTCTTGAAAAACATGGAGAAAGGGGAGAGAGAGATTTAATAAAGAAAATATACCACAAAATAAAGAGAAATGCCCTAGGCAGTCTCAGAAAAAAAGAGAAAAAGCTCCCATGACAGAATGGAGGTCTTTTCTAACAGTTAACGGAAATTATTTGGTCTTATCTTCCATGACATTTGTATGTGGTTCATACCTGGGCATTTCACTGTCTTGCTAAAGAGTAAAATTTTACAGCGTAAGTTATCTTTCTTGATACTAGACATTTGACAGTAAGATAGTAAGATATCACAAGCCACTGGGGTCAGACCCCAAGTGTTCAGGGTCTCACTGTTAAAGGGTAAGAATTTCTGCATTTGAAGAAGGAAACTTTTGTCTCTACATTTTTAAAGTATTTATTTTTAGTAGTGTATGTGTGTGTGTGTGTGTGTGTGTGTGTGCATATACACACCAACATGCCTGAAATGACCAAAAAGAAGGCATCAGATCCTCTGGAGCTGGGGTTTCAGGCAGCTGTGAGCCACCCAATGTGGGTACTGAGGCCCAGGCTCAAGTCCTGTGAGAGATCAGGAGGGTCTTGAGCAGCTGAGCCATCTGTCCAGATCTGTCTCCGCCCCTCACCCTGTGAATCAACCAGCTCAAATCATTGACAGGGAAAGGAAGTCTTTTTTTCTTTCCTGTCTCTCCTAAAGCTGCTTCAGAGCTGATGGGATGATAAGGGGCACTTCTGGCTGAAAGGTCCTCATGGTGGAGAGAGGCCCCAACAGTGACGATAATGGTTGATACTCCTGAGACAATACCTTGTGGAGTTTGATAGCATCTAATCTGAAGGATATCAGTTATCCCAGAAGGCTAAATAAACAAGGTCCAAACAGAATGGGCAGTATGCTGGTGAACTGTCCCTGGGGTTGTAATAATTGGGAGATTCAGCCCCATGTGCCCTTACAAACAAATCTTCCCTCAGAGGCTGGCTCCATCCATCTATCTAATGTATGTATGTATGTATGTATGTATGTATGTATGTATGTATGTATGTATGTAT